CCCACCCTCCCCTCCTTCTCTTGAAGTTTGTCACAACTGTTGCGAATCACACAAAGAAAGCTGTTTTAGAAATAAATCATTGAAAACATATCGAAGTATAAAGCATGAAACTTAAGATACGATTTATTTCTTTAAAACTACCTGCACACATGTCATAAACCCTATCAGCATTCTCCTCTGCCTCTTTCTGTTGTCTTTCTAATTCACGCATTCGTATTTCCCTGGCTTCTGCTCTTGCCTGTCTCCTAGCAGCCAGTCTTGCTTCTGCCTGAAAGTACATATATAGAAAATCCAATATATCATCAAGAGCATATGTATAATTACATTTCATTCATTACAACCATATTAGAAAGTTTTTGGATGGAACATCTATTAGAGTAACTAGCAAAACCAAAGGAAATGAATTATGTACTCCTCCATTATAAGTTCATTTTTATCGAAAGACAAATTACTTATGTACAGTTGCTGTACAAATCAAGCTATAATTAGATATAATTAATTAACTAATTTAATAAATTAATAAATAGATAATAAACAAAATATGTGGAAATGTTAATAATACATTTTATCTGAATATAAATTAATAAATAACAAGCAAATGTGCGTAATATTAGTAATATATTTTATCTGTTAATACATATATCTGATTATACATAAAAGAATTATATTTGCAACTATCTGATGACGTTACAAACATTACAAAAGAAAACATTTGTAACGTGCTTATGAAACATTGTTCCCTCAAAGACATATACATAAGACGGTTGTACTATAATGTATAAAGATATAAGAAATCTGCAAACAATTACAACTATAAGTCTATTCACAAGCACTGTTTTAAGCCAACAGTAATAAGATATAAGCAATGCTCCTGTTTTAACATAATAATTTATATTCTTAAAGCGAAAAAAGCACGATTTGTATCGATTAATTATTTCTAAGACAAATTAATATAGAACAGAATAAAAGTATTGTAAAGACTGACAAAAATCCTTGGAAGCAAAAATTTTAATTTCTTAATAGCAGCACTCACATACATACGTACACAACAAAAGGATAACTGCACTGAAAAATTAAATAAAAGGATAACTAAACAACTATACGTACTACTTAAAATAAATAAGTGACTTGTACAAATAATATCTAATATAATTTTGTAATACAAACTTATGTTTATGCATGTCAATTGTTTTTCAACATAGAACATAATATATGTACATATTGTACACACACATATATATATATATATATATATATATATATATATATATATATATATAGATGTATAAATATGTATAAAAAAAATATATATATATATATTTTTTTTTTTGTATCATCGAGATCATACCTCCTTAGCTATTTGATCGAGCGCTTGATCTTCTGCAGAATGCCGTGTGGCAGTACGCCTTCGCCCAGCTATAGCCGATTCCATTTTGAATTTCTTTTCTTACAACTTTTGTTTCAAACGTAACGATTTTAGAAGAATCCACGTCTAGCTGACACCACATTAACAGGTAAACGATTAGCTAAGGACAAATTTATACAAATGTAAGCTGGAGTGGTTATTTGCAGGAAAGTCAATAACGTGACAAATCAATGTTGTACCGAATTTAAACTACGATTTCTCTTTCGTTTATAATTTTAATTGTAATCACTTGGTCACAATTAATCTTATTGTGACTGCATTCGGGGAGCATTCGTTATTAGCGCTATCGTATCATTCTTTATCGCTCATTAGGTGTAAACCAAGGCTAGAATAAGCAAATAGCGCTAATAGCGTGCTTCGCGAATGCAGCCTATATATGTATTTGCCAAGTTTGATAGACATTTTGAAAACTTTATAGTGAGATTTTATTAATTTATTAGAGATTTTATTACGCTAAATTATTAATTTAATCTGATTGATTGTTATTTCCTTCAAATCCCACTTTATATGAAAATTATGACACTTTGTAGTCTATGTACTATACTCAAAAAGGATGAAAACGAAAATCAATCATAGGAAGAAACAATTTTCCAAATACAAAAATTTGCAATCGCTGTATGCTGTATGCGCGCGCGCGCATGTAAATTCAATATATTTATTATTTTAATATATACGTCTTTCTTTTCTTTTTTCTACATAGAACTTTTGTATTTTAATGCATGTACAGCATAACTATTACAAAGCTACACAAAAGGATTTAATCGGGTACGCGTGAGGTAAGAAAGAGAATTACGATATATTATGTACACTACAAACGAACATCTATTATAGACATAGACATTCTAAACGACATATGCGCGCGCGTGCGCTTGGGTGTGCGTATCATATACAATCACACACTCACACACACACACGCGCACTCATCATACACACATCGCGCGCGCGCGCGCGCGTGGGGCACACTGCACATACGTAATATACATACATACATATTATATACATACATTATATATATATATATATATAATATGTATAATAAATGTATGTACATATGCATGACTGTTTTTCATTGCGATTCCACCATTCTGTTGTTCATTACGGGCGAACACTTACGACTAGAATACGTCGTCAGTCGCGGTGGATAGACAGACATTTCCCGAACCAAGTCGCATGCAAGGATAAGTGCCGAGTACGTACTATAAATACAATCGATGGAATATAATCGAATGACTTGGTCACAACGCGATACGAAACTTGGCTGGTTGGACACTCCGCGATCCGCGATGACTTTGGCGGACTTGGCGGTATCGTCGAGTCTATCTTAATTTACAATCGGCGGTTACAGGCATTACGGGCTCCGCGTCTCGAGATACGCAAGAATCGTTCCAAGTTCCAAGATCCTTTAATAACCGGCCGTCGGCCGACCGGCGACTGGTCCACTCAAGCGTGAGACTCGACAAATGCGGTGCGCGGTGCCGCACTTGAGCTTAGCGAAAGATACATTTTTTAATCGCGCTCTTGCATCCACTCCAAACCTCACACTCCGCACTTCGCACCAGGCACCAGCGCACAGCGGCCAGCGCACCACTTCGCTCGCACTCTGTCTGTGTGCTCTGTGTGTGAGAATAGTGACGAACACGAAACACCTAAAGAGCACCCTGCCCTGCGCCGCGCCGCACCACACCGTCACCGTGCTGCACTATGCTGCACTATGCTGCACCGCGTGATCGCGCAGCCGTGCCGCGTTTCACCGCTCTTTGCCGTGTCCACGAATCCCACGTCTAGGGCCTGTTCGTTTTAACTGAACTTCTTGCACGGTTCATCTTTCCTCTTTTTCCTTTCGCGTTGGAGAGAAAAGGAAAAGAGGAAAGATGAACTGTGCAACAAGTTCAGCTAAACTAACAGGCCTTCTTCTAATGGAGGATTCACACTGCGTCCGATGTTCGACGTACGACGATCCGACATCCAATAGGAAATTTTTGTCTCTAATAATAAATTCTGTTATTGGATGTCGGATCGTCGTACGTCGAACATCGGACGTGATCGGACGCAATGTGAATCCTCCATAATAGAGAATTCACATTGCGCCCGATGTTCGACGTACGACGATCCGATATCCAATAACAGAATTTATTATTAGAGACAAAAATTTCTTATTGGATGTCGGATCGTCGTACGTCGAACATCGGACGCAGTGTGAATCCTCCATAAAGCCCGATGTCCACGATGCAAGGACTGTGTCCAAGTTTCGGTTTAAGCCAGTTTAAGCCAATGAAACTGCTACTTTTCTGTAAAGCCCGGTGTCCACGATGCAAGAACTGTGTCCAAGTTTTGATTTAAGCTAATCAACTTGCAGCTCTTACAGAAAAGTAGCAGTTTCATTAACTTAAGGGGATCCTGCAGCCGTATGATTTACCGACATTATCGTTTTTCGATGGATCTTTTAATTGGCTTTACAGAATTGCAAGTTTTTGGTCTAGAATTAAAGTACGCACAAAAATCTAGGGCAGAAAACGCGATTTTATATCAAAAACGCCAAAAAATTAAAAATGTTATTTATTTGGGCACATACGCAGCTGTCACCTGACGACAATATTTGCTTAAAACAAAAATTCTGCAGTTTATACATACATAATTTTTATCATCTGCCCTTGGGAAAACATGTAGGAATAATATCGTGCAAGTAGAAGTAAGATTCAATGCGTACAAAAAAAGATCCATCGAAAAATTATTTTAGTAATGCAAATACGGATGCAAATGACAAGAAGAGTAGCAACAGTAGTTGCCGGATCTTGCGAAAGATGGCGAGCAATCGAAAAAAGGACAGATGTCATTTCGTTAGACAAAGACAGATATAGGGAAAACAAAATTAGAAAGGTTGACATTATCGACATCGAGGAAGTTCGCCAGTCACTGCAGGATCCCCTTAAACCGAAACTTGGACACAGTTCTTGCATCATGGACACCGGGCCTAAAGACCGGGCTTGAGCCAACCAATGAGCATCCAGCATAAAGTCGCCATATTGATTTACATAAGATGCTCATTGGTCCAGCGGTCTTATGCTATGCTTAAGGTAAAATTTCATGGGCAGTGAAAAGTAGCAGCAGATCGTACTGATTGGCTACAAAATAGAGAAGTTCTAGGAACTCGAGAACTTCTCTATTTTATAGCCAATCAGTACAATCTGCTGCTGCTTTTCACTGCCCATGAAATTTCACCTTTAGGCTGCGGTCCATTTGACGTTACAAATGCTTTGGAGCGTTCTTCTTCTCCTTCTTTCTTCATTGAAAGAAAAGAGAAGAGGAATGCTTCGAAGCATTTGTAGCGTCAAGTAAACCGCAGCCTTTGTGTGCGATGGCCTTTAAGCGGGGAGCACACATTTCTGCACAACGCATAATGCGCAAGCATAAGAAAATTGATTGGTCTATTTCTTTATGCACATGTGTATGGGCCAATCAATTTTCTTATGCTTACGCGTTATGCGTTGTGCAGAAGTGTGTGCTCCCCGCTTTACTCAGAGTGAATTTTGGAACGCAGCCCAATGGTCCTTTAGGCCCAGTTTAACAGTGGCCAGTTAGCTTAACTAGTAGTTAACTCTCACTCTCTGTCTCTTTTTAACTCAAAGGTTAGATAGAGACGGAGAGTGAGAGTTAACTACTAGTTAAGCTAACTGGCCACTGTTGAACTGGGCCTTAAAGGTGGAAGCACATAAAATTGCAGGAGCCTTGAGCAGAATGCAGAAGCCATATGCGCATGCGCTATGGTATCTGTAGGAGCTCTACAGATACCACAGCGCATGCGCATATGGCTTCTGCATTCTGCTCAAGGCTCCTGCAATTTTATGTGCTTTGTGACGTCACGCAAATTAAATTTTGTCCCCTTTTTCAAAACTCTTCAAAATCGGTCAATTATAATTGTCTCTGTCGTAAACCTTGCATTTTCATATTAATATTAACCTTTGCTATGATTCACCAAGACGTTGCAGCCGCCCCTTACCATGCGATGATTCACTAAGCCGTCGCAGTCCCCTACAATGCGATCGATAATAATATAAAATACGCCTCGGCTGTACCACCCAGAATGCCGGCAGGAATCAAAGGATCTCGGTGAAGAAGCGTCCGAATGATAGCGCGAGAAAAATAACATATTTACCAGTCGAGAGCTAATGCAGTATGACTCAAGTGCATCCTTTGACTCCCTCCAAAGTGTCCTTAGAACCTTCTAGAAGGAATTAATTCTAACCAATGGAAGCCATAGAAGCCTCCCATAATTACCATCTTTATTCGCTCATTAGCAAATCAGGACACGAAAAATCCAGCCAGCATTCAAATCGGTCCCTATAAAAATACGTACTCAGCCGGAGCGAGGGCCTTTTGTTTTTTATTTTACGCACGAAGTTCATTACGCATTTGTCTTTATTAATTGTCGAACCACTACTCGAAAACTGCTCCAGCTGAGTGACGAGGTTGGACCCTTCCGATTCTCGAGGGTCTATTGACACATTAGGAGACGCTCTTTCCATAACAGCCAGCGATAATAGTAAGTCTAATTTTAATAATTAAGCGAAACTTGTATTCCTCACGCCTATAACTTGTGGAGATTGTATCGAAACCGATTGAATTAATAAATTCAGTGTTAATCTCTAGCTTCGCAAGCATCATAAATTACCCACTTTCCGAACCTCCCTTATCTATTACTAGAAATTAACATTGTGCAACGAGTAATGCTAATGCTAATGGCTCCTGCACACAGGACGCGGCAGCGCGGCATTGCGGCAACGCGGCACCGCAGTAACCAATCACCATCTGCCTTTCCGTACTACTTTCAAAAGTAGAACGGAAAGGCAAGACGGTAATTGGTTACCGCGGTGCCGCGTTGCCGCAATGCCGCGCTGCCGCGTCCTGTGTGCAGGAGCCATTAGCATAAATCCAATAACAATTTATTCCTTAAGGAGGTTCGATGGCTTCATCGGGGGGAGTAGTGGGACGCGGGGGTTCTGGAAACAGCGCACTAGCGTTTGAAGTAGTGGGAATGAAGGGGATTGCTCTGATTGGTCGCCGCGTGTGTAATGCGTGCTGCTGTTCACGTCGTTCACGACCATGACAGTCTATGCAGACGAAAAATCAAGCAATTTATGCTTTAATAATTAATTTTTCTACGAAATGTGCGGTAACCTTCCCCTTTCTTTCGCTCATTTATTTGTAAATTATTAAGTTACATGTGCAAATTTCTTTTTCTTTATCATTTGCATTTTTTTTTGCACTTATTTCATTCTGAAGGTATATGCAATATGTCATTTCCCATAAAAACCATAAGATCTTATGTTAAAAATGCAGCCAGTTTCATGCAATTTTAATATGTTGTTCTGGAATGCAAAATAGAATTATGTGAATTTTTTGGGAATTTTTCGCCGTCCTGTTTTGAAATAAATCTACTCCTAAAATTGTACTTTTTAGGTTTTTGGAGTAGATTTTTTTCAAAACGGGACGGTGAAAAATTCCCAAAAAATTCACATAATTCTATTTTGCATTGCAGAACAACATATTAAAATTTCATGAAATTCTCTGAATTTTGTTGTAGCCATCGAACCACCTTAAAACCCGTGTCACAAAACACCAGCCGGTTCCCGGCTACAAATAAAGATATAAATAAATGTCCCCAAGTGCTCCTGTGCGATACCAGAGAGAAACCTGAGAGAGGCCACCCCGGCATTTTTCGTCAATTTTTCTGTGTCGCATTTTCCGACGCGCCGCCTGAGAAAGTGCAACTCAACTACGTCGTTTCGCTCGGTAACCGTACATGGTTTGCGTCCGTGCTAATGGTTCGTGTCCGAACTAGCCAGTTAGAGGGGATATGCTGCGGCCGTGGCGCACAGTGAAGCCGTTTGCGCGAATCGCGGAAAAAATTATGTTACTTGTGAAATATGTGCAATGAATGATCATAGAACCTT